CCCCCCGCCGCCCCGCCCACTCCCCTCCCCCTCCCCCCGCCGCCCGGGCTTTGTCCGCGGGCGGGTGGGCGGGCGGGCGAGGCGGGGCTCGCGCGGGACGCCCGCCGCCCGGCCCAGCCCAGCCCCGCTCACCGCCGCGCCCCCCCGCAGCCGAGCCCATGGACGTTGACCTGGACTATGAGCGCCCCAACGTCGAGACCATCAAGTGCGTGGTGGTGGGCGACAACGCGGTGGGCAAGACGCGGCTCATCTGCGCGCGGGCCTGCAACGCCACGCTCACCCAGTACCAGCTGCTGGCCACCCACGTGCCCACCGTCTGGGCCATCGACCAGTACCGCGTCTGCCAGGAGGTGAGCGCGGGGCCGCGCGGGGCCGGGCGGGGCGGGGCGGGGCGGCGGCACGCCCAGCACTGCCTCCCGCGCTGCCTCCGCAGGTGCTGGAGCGCTCCCGCGATGTGGTGGACGAGGTCAGCGTCTCCCTGCGGCTCTGGGACACCTTCGGCGACCACCACAAGGACCGGCGCTTCGCCTACGGCAGGTGAGCGGATCTCCCCGGCCCGGGGCTGCGCCGGCCCGCTGCTCCCCCACCGGGCGCCGTGCACGTGCCCCGGGCCGGCTCCCGAGGGAGGGCAGCGAGAGCGGGCTCCTGCGCAGGGCAGGGCTCCCCGTGCTGCACCCGTCCTCTGGCCGAGGGGGCGCTCCCGGCGGTGGGTGGGCTGCCTCTTGTTCCGGCCTGGCGCTCCTCGCTGGCCCGGCAGGTGGGATCGCAAGCCCCCGGGGGGACGCGGGTGCCACAAGAGGGAGGACGCGGCAGCCCTGGGGACCGCGGCTGGGCCCTCTGGCTTGGGGGCATGCCCTCGCGGGACATAGGAGCGCTTTCCCGGAGCAGGGCTGCTGGAGCGGCAGCGGCACGTGGAGGCCCCGATCCAGCTGATGGGAAGTGTCAAATGCACCAGGTGGGATCGGAGGTCTCCTCGTGCGGGAGACGGGCAAGGCCGCCCGCCCGCCCGCCCGCCCGCCCAGGGCTGGCAGAGCTGCGGGGCTGCGGTTGCCGGCTGCTGAGCCTGGCTACCCAGCCCAGGGCTTTGCTGGCCCCCATAGCTGTGCTGAGGCGGAGGGGAGCGTGCTCCCAAGGCGAGGGGCAGGGGCGGGGGCGGGGGTGGCCCGAACCCTGCCCAGCCTGCTGTCCCCCCCTCAGGTCCGATGTGGTGGTGCTCTGCTTCTCTCTGGCCAACCCGAACTCGCTACGGCACGTGAAGACGATGTGGTACCCCGAGATCAAGCACTTCTGTCCCCGCACGCCCATCGTCCTGGTGGGCTGCCAGCTGGACCTGCGCTATGCCGACCTCGAGGCCGTGAACCGCGCCCGCCGGCCCCTGGCCAAGTACGCCCCGGCCCGCCTTGTCGGCGGGGGCCTCCGGAGACTCCTGAGGGGGGCCCACAGGCCCGGGCAGGGAGTGCGGTGTCCCCGGCCACACGTGCTCCTGGGGTGCCCCCTGCCGCGGGCGGCTTCGGCTGGGCTCTCTCCCCTTGAGGGCTGGGCCGTCTCTGGGCCACTGCGTGTGTGGAGGCACTGCAGGGCGGCCCTTGCGAGGTGCAGGATGCGCCGTGACTGCAGCTCCCCCCCCCCGTCTCTCTAGGCCGATTAAGCCTTCCGATATCCTCCCACCGGAGTGTGGGCACGAGGTTGCCAAGGAGCTCGGTGTCCCCTACTATGAGACCAGCGTGGTGGCCCAGTTTGGCATCAAAGACGTCTTCGACAACGCCATCCGGGCAGCCCTCATCTCCCGCCGCCACCTGCAGTTCTGGAAGTCCCACCTCAAGAAGACACAGCGCCCTCTGCTCCAGGCCCCCTTCCTCCCGCCCCGGCCGCCCCCGCCGCTCATCCACGTCCCGGAGCCGGCCTGTCAGGAGGGCCGGGGCCCCACCGCCCTCTTCCAGGAGCCCCTGTGCGCGGACGTGGTGTTCTGCCTGCAGGGCGGCCCCCGGGTCTTCGCCCACCGGGTGTACCTGGCCACGTCGTGCTCCAGGTTCTACGACCTCTTCACGCTGCACCTGGCAGGGGAGGGCGCTGGGGCGAAGGAGCCCGCCGGCAGGACCAGGAGCCTGGATGCCGACCAGGGCTGCTTGGGGGCTGTGGGGGTGGCGGCGGCCGCCTCGCTCCGGGCCTCGCAGAGCGACGACCCCCTGCGCGTGGCCGAAGCCCCTCGGGAGCTGTCGGGCTGGGGGCGGGGCTTCGTCAGCATGCGCCAGGAGGGGGTGCGGGACCCCGTCACGCAGCGCGAGAAGCTCATGACGGCCATCTACATGGACGGGTCTGTGCAGCCGGGCCCTTTCCGGGCGGTGCTGGAGTACCTGTACACGGGGCACCTGGAGCAGCCCCGGGCCGACCTCATGCAGGTGGCCGCCATCGCAGAGCTGCTGGAGGTGTTCGACCTGCGCATGATGGTGGCCAACACCCTCAACAAGGAGAGCTTCATGAACCGGGAGATCACCAAGGCCTTCCACGTGCGCCGCGCCAACCGCATCAAGGAGTGCCTGAGCAAGGGCACCTTTGCGGGTACTGTGGGGGCCAGGGGGGGGCCGGGGCGGGGCAGCATGGTCCCGGAGGCCTGCAGTCCGCCAGGCCCATCTTGCCCGGGGCAGGCTCGGCTCTGAGCCGGCCTGCTCCCTGTGTCCCCGCAGATGTGGCGTTCGTGGTGGATGACGGCTCGGTGCTGGCACACAAGCCCTTGCTCCTGGCGGGCTGCGACTTCATGGTGGCCATGTTTGGGGGTGCCTTCCGGGAGAGCTGTGCCACAGAGGTGAGGAGCCAGGGAGAGTGGGCCGCAGCGGTGGGGGGCGGGTGGTGCTTCCTGCCCTGGCCGGGTCCTCTGCCGGGGCTCCAGGCGCGCTTGCGGGGTGAGCTGGCTCCACGGCTCCGTGGCGCCGCTGGGCTCTTGGGGCAGGGCGGCATCCGGGCCCGGGGGGCGCCGCCCGGCTTCGTGCCGGGAGCTGTCCGGGACGGCTTTGCGGCCGCTGGCGCGAGGCTCCTGTGGCTCTGCCCGCCCTGACAGCTGAGCTGGGGGCCGCTGGGTCACAGGCATCGATTGCAGAAGTGGGCCGGGCTGCAGCTCAGAGGTGAATCCAACTCCCCCGCCCTCCCCTCGGCCTGGCGCAGGGCGAGCACCCCCCCCCGCAGCAGCCGCCCCGCCTCCTCCCCTCCCCCCCCACCCAGACCCTTTGGCAGCGGGACGGCCAGCTGGTCCCTGGAATGTGACCCCGCAGCCAGTCGCGGCCGGCCTCCCGGGGGAGGGGCCCTTGCCGCCTTCCAGGGCTCAAGATACGTTGGGCATTTCAAAAATAAAGGGTCACGGGGCTCCCGCTGGGCCGTGGCAGGGGCCCAGGGAGGCCAGCCCAGCGGCACGCCAGGCCTCCCGCCCCCCCCCGCCCCGCTGGACAGAGGCGCCTTCGCCTGCCCTCTGAGACGCTGCCGCTGCAGAATTCCTTGGGGAAGAGGTGGCTGGCCCTGCCTTCGTCCCACACCCTGGCGGGGAGCCAGGATTGGGCCTTGGAACATTGGCCGGGGCGGTGAACGTCCCTGAACTTGTGCAAAGTGCGTTTCCTTTGAGCTGGCGTTCCCTTGAAGCCCGGAGAAATGGGCCCGGCTCCCGGGAGGCGCAGCCGCAGAGCCGCTTGCGGGCAGAGGGCTCGGGGGCGCGTCCCGGGAGGCAGAATTCTGTGCTGTGCCGGGGCCTGCACGGTCTAGTGGGAGGAGCGGAGGGGCCGGCCGTGCCCCGGGAGCGGAGGGGAGCAGGGGCCGAGCTGGGCGGGCCGGGCCCCTCCTCAGCGCCCTCCGCGCCCGCACCCCCAGGTCCCTCTGCCGGGCACCAACCGCGCCTGCCTGCGCGCCGTGCTGGAGTTCCTGTACACGGGGCTCTTCGTCCCCCGGCCGGACCTGGACGCCATGGAGCTGCTGGTGCTGACCAACCGCCTGTGTCTGAGCCGCTTGCAGGCCCTGACCGGTGAGTCCTCGGCGGCTCGGGCGCCCCCCGCCTGCCCCCCCCCCGGCCAGCGCCGCCTCGAGGCCTCTTACATAAGCTGCCGATAAGATCGCGAGGCTGCAGGGACACCGCGTCCCGAGGATCGATGTGTCCCCAGAGCCTTGGTGGCCTGCCAGCGGGAGACTGAAGGGGCGGGCAGCCTCGGGGGAGGCAGAGCGGCCGCCCACCCTCACTCCGCGCGGGGGGACGGTGGGGGCCCGCTTCTGTCCCAGGCGTGGCTGTGGGGAGGGGTACCGACTCCCCCAAAGAGCCTTGGAAGTGGGGGTGGGCCTCTGAGCAGCTACAGAGTACATTTCTGAAAACCCTGCTGTCAAGGACAGCCAAGAGTCCGCCTGCCTGCCTGCCTGCCTGCCTGCCTGCCTGCCTGCCTGAGACTCCTCCCTGCTCTTCTGCCCACAGAGCAGTACGCAGTAGATGAACTGGTTCATGCCAGCCTGCAGCAGGTGGAAATAGATGCCCAGGTTATCCTCTACCTGGAGATGACACAGGTATGGCGCAGCCCTGAGGAAGCCAGGTGCAAAGTCCTGCTCTTTGTCTCCACCGGAGGCTGAAGCCCACCCCCGGGCGGCCCAGAGCTGTGCAAGCGTAGGCAGGTGCCACCCGGACGAGGGCCACGACGCCTCCCGGGGCTCGCCTCCGCTGGCTGGGGCTTCCCTGGGGCACAGAGCAGCGGGGCAAGAGGCTTCCCTGCTGCCGGAAGCTGAGCGCCCCATGCGTGCCCACCTGCCCCTCCACGGCAATGGGGCGGTGAGGGCCCCCAGGGACACAGCCAAGGGCCCCCCGGGGGCGGTGCGTGCGCAGGGAAGTGCCTGCCCCTCACCTGCCGCCGCGCCTGCTCCGCAGTTCCACAATGCCCGCCAGCTGGCCGCCTGGTGCCTGCACCACATCTGCACCAACTACAACAGCGTGTGCCGCCGCTTCCCCCGGGAGATGAAGAGCATGTCTGCAGGTAGGGGCGGCCCGCCAGCGGGGTGGGGCGAGAGAGGCCGCTTGCACTTGGGGGCGGGGCGGCCCTGTGGTCCCGTGGGGGCACGGGCCTCCCCCCTTCTGCAGCCCCTCTGGCACCCCTCGGCAGGAGCGTGCAGGGCTCCCCGGGAGCTGCCCCTGACCCGGCCGCTCCTTGCCCCCGCAGAGAACCAGGCCCACTTCGAGCGCCACCGCTGGCCCCCGGTCTGGTACCTGAAGGAGGAGGACCGCTACCTGCGCTCGCAGAAGGAGCGCGAGCTGGAGGAGGAGACGCTGCGCAAGCAGCACCCCCGCCGCAAGTGGTGCTTCTGGCGCCCGCACCACGCCAGCCCCATTTCCTGAGCCCGCGCGTCCGTCCCCCGAGCGGGGGGCACGCTCGGCTCCCCCATCCTGCTCGTGCCTTTGCCGGGAGGGAGCTGGCCGGCCGGCCGGCCGGTGCAGGTGCCGCCTCGGCAGAGCGAGGCGTCTTGCCCGCCGCCCACCAGGCAGTGCCTCTGCCTTGTTTACAGCCTCCCCCCTGGCTCCGTGCCTCTGGCCGCCACTGCCCACCTCTGCCAGCACCCGTGCCCGCACCTGGGCGGGCCGGTGGGTGCCCGGCAAAGCAGGTGGCCCTGACCAGCCGTCTCTCTCGACTCTACCTCCAACCTGAACAGTATTCTGGGGACAAGGGGCTTCTCCCGCTGTGCTGGGTGGCTGCAGGCGGGCCGGGCCGGGCCGGGCCGGTGCAGGAGGGCAAGGGCTTCCAGAGCTGCTCTGGCAACCCTGCTGGCCGTCGTGGCTGGGCTGTCCGGGGCTCTGCCAGCCCGGAGTGGGCTGCCACGGGACGTGGGTCACTGAGCCACCTGGCTGCAGTGGAGGGGTAGGTCACGGACGGGCGGGGGATGCGGTGCATGGGGGAGCTGGAGTGGTGTGCCCGGGCCAGGGTGGGGTTTCTTCCGAGGCATCTCGTTTTGTGCTTGTCCATGGGTGGAAGAGGAAGGTGGTACGGGGGGGGGGGGGGGCTGGCCCCCCCCCCCCCCCCGGCCTGGCCTTGGGGCCAAAGGGACCCCCCCCGGGGTCTTCACAACAGGGAGAGCTCCCAGCTGCCCCCCCCCCATTAGTCACGCCCTCGGGTGCATTAAGGGAAGTAGCTGGGTTTGCTTCAGTGAGAGGAGGGTCTTCCAGGCACCCCCCAGATCTGCACAAACATTTTTACACTTTTTCTACGTGTTCCAGTTTTCCTTCCAAGACCTCTGCCAAGCACAAACCTACCCAGGGTGGGGCCACGCGTGGCACCCACCCTACCGAAGGGCTTCGATGCGAGCAGGTGCCGAGCGGCCCTCGCGCATCCGCGTTTCTGACCACTGTGAGCTGGGCCGCCCCACTCTTTCTTACACACTGCAGTATTGGCCTGTTTTAACCTTTAATAAAAGCCTTTTGTATTGTGAACCTGTGTGAGTCTGCAGCTGGGCAGCGCAGGGTCAGGGCGACGCATATGGTGGTCTCTCGGTCAGGGTGGAGGGGGGCATTACAGGCCCCCCCCGAATGCACAGGCATTGACCCGTTCGTCCCGCTGCCCTAGGAGCAGAGCTAGAGGGATCCTGGGCCGCTGCAGCAGCTCCCACCTCTTGGGCAGTTGTGGCCGGGGCGGGGGGGGGGGCTGTGAATTCCCGGCATATTGGCTTCACCTGGTGTGGCAGGGCGCCTTTTCCGCCCGCTGGCAGTTTCTTGGGCCGTGGCCAGGCTCTTCTCCTGGCAGCCATGCCTGCTTCCAGCCCTGCCTGCACATTCAGACAGGCTGGACATGCACATGGTGGGCATGTCGTGAGCGGAGCTGGCTGGAGCCAGGGGTCAGACGAGTTGGCCCAGGCGACCCCTTCTGACTCGCTCTTTCTGTGTTTCTATTTGCGCCCAGCAGCTCTGCTGCAGGAGCGGCTATTTTCCAACCCGGTGTCTGAAGCTCTGTTGAGGGGACATCGCACCACCACCACCACCACCAATTACTGGGAGGAGGAGTGTGGGTGGCCCGAGCGGTGTGCGGCCTGGAAGTGCTGCTTCGAGGCCACTGCAGGGAAGCGAGCCAGGCTCCTCTCTGGTCCAGGCCCTTCTGATGTGATGCAGGGCACCTCCGGGACGCACAGCCACCGAAATGCCAGCCCAGGGAGCAACGTGCCCCCTTACAAGGCTTGTCCTTTCGTGCCCCTGCGGGCTGCGTTCTCGTCTGTGAAGGGCCGTCTCTTTTGGGGGGGGGGGAAGAGACCTGCACGGGGGCTCTGGGGAAGTCGCAGGCCCACTGAGGAGGTCCCCTGGCCAGAGCAGAAGCCGTGAGAGAGCACACGAGCCGCCTGCGCAGAGTCCTCCATGAGGAGGGGCTCCCCTGCCGGAGCTGGACGTTCCTGGGCAGCTCGGGCACGGCCGCAGAGGCAGCTCCGGGAGGTTGCGAGCCGGGCCAAAGGGCAGGTTGCCTTGTCTGGGACACGACGGGCAGGGGCTGCTCGTGACAGAGCGGCACAGGGAAGCCAGGCCCCACGCCCCAGACACGTGCTGGCCTGGGCGGGCGGCCTTTGGCCCACGGCTCCTTGCTACTGGCCGTGGCCCACGAGGTGCCCGTTGTGCAGGACCCTCCACGGGGCAGCTTTGCAGCATGCGGCTCGCTCATGCGGACAGGCTCGGGGTGTGGCGGGGGGGGGGAGTCCGCGCTGTGGCTCCTCGATGCCTCCCCCTCCTGGCAGCTGCAGCGGCACTGGCAGGGAGCTGCCCCTGCCCCCGGGACACTGCCAAGCTGCGGCTGGGCCTGCAGGGTCCGTCCCCCTTGGGGCACATCACGGTGTCCGTTCCTGACGATGCGGAGGGTGGAAAGGCAGAGGCCCTGCTGCGCCCCGAGCTGCCGCAAGCGGGGCCTGCCCTGCCCTGCCCTGCCCCTCCTCCTCCTCCTCCTCCTCACGGCTGCAAGACCACACACACAGCGGGATCGTCAATTTTTTTATTTATCCAGGAAATACGCTGCAGCCTCCTCGGCTGAAATGCTGCAGTCGTCGGAACGCTCCCTTGCATGGAGCACTGGCCCAGCTTCCCCCCGAGGGAGACTTCACAGGGCCCAGGGCCACTTGCAATGCTCCGCTCTCTGCCCAGCCCGCCAGTGCCCTGGTCCAGGAGCAAGGCAGCGCCGCGGGAGCCGGGCAACTTGCGGAGCCTCGACCCTGCGGAAGCGCCGCAGCCCGGCTTCGTCACAGGCGGTTTCTCCCCTTGGCCTTGTCAAAGTGGGGAGCCCCGAGGGGCTGCAGGGGGAGGCGGCCCCAACGCAAGAGGGGCCCTCCCAGCAGTTCTCTGTCACATCCCAGAAGATTGCTAGGTGCTAGGCGCCATTGCGCGTCAGCCCTATGGGGGGGGTGCTGACCCGCTGGAGCAAAAAGGAGCCCCCCCCCCAACATGCCCCCCTGGCAGGGAGAGCCGGACTGCAGCCTGGCGGGCTGGTCGGTCCATGTCCGAAAGCCCCACATTCAGTCATTTGGCCCAACCAGCCGGGTATTAATGGATCCTCTAAGAGAAGAGGAGACGTTTTGACAAGAACGACCCTCTGGTCCTCCTCCAGTTCACACATCCTTCCTTGTATGGGGCAGTTCCAGTGCAGCTGGCTTATTCCTGCTTTTCTGGAGGGCAGCACTGGTAGCAGAGTGAGCTTGGCCAGCTTCCTTCTGGCAGGATGCGTGGGGGGCAGGGGCTCATCCTGCAGCGGCCTGGGGCTGAGGGGGCCCTAGCTCTAGAAGAAACCTCCCGGCATGCCGTGGGGGGAGCCTGGGACCCATGTCCCTGCCCCATGGCTTGGCAGGGGCTGGAGCAAACCCCACGGGTTGTGCCAGCACTCCTGGGCATGCCCCCTTCAGAACGGAGGGCAGCGGCCCTGCCTGAGCAGCTGGAGAGGAAGGGCAGCCGCATCGTGGAAGGAGGGCTGGCCTGGGCTGCTCTCGGTGCTGCGCGGCGGCGGGAGAGCCCCCCGCCCCCCCATCTCCAGGGAGCCCCAGGAGGGCTACGCCTGCACAAAGCGGATTATCTCGCTGAGCTCGAAGCCGGTGACGGCGAAGGTGCTGCCCTCGGGGTCGCAGAAGCGGGCACCGCAGAGCAGGGTGTCGGCCACACACTCTGTGTGGCAGTGCTCCACCTGCAAGCAGACGGTCGGTGTCATGCCGGGGGCGCACCCCACTCCTTCGCGCAGGCCGAGCCAAGGCGGGGGCTGCAGCCGGCAGGAAGAAGGCGGGAAGGGCCCGTCGGGATCGCCTGGCCTGGGCGCGTCGGGATCCCACGCTCTGCCCTACTTGATGCCGCAGTTCAAAGCAGCCGGGGCCTCGGCTCCAGATTAAGCAGCCAGCACAGCGGAAAAGCCCCCTTTGTGTCTCACGGACTGAACCAAGGTGGGCAGAGCGGCCTGTCTCCCTTGTACGGCTACAGCTCCACTTAGAAAATGGCCACCCGGTTTCCTGGTGCTTTTAATGTAGCCCTTGCTCTGGATTCAGCCCAGTCCCAGCATCGCAATGGCCGGAGACGTGTACTCTGCGCACACTTCCCACTGGAGCAGCAGGCCAGTCAGTGGCCAAGAGCGCTTCAGGCGGGCTGCAGGCCCAGTGGGGCAACCAGGCAGTGGCGGGGGACCCACAGCCTGGGAGGCGAAGGAGCTGGAGGACCCGGTCTGAGTTGCCCCGGAGGCGGCACACTGCCACTTCCCCCGGGGGGGCGGTCCAGGAGCAGCCCTCCCAGCAGTCTCACCTCAATATCCTGTGTGTCTGAATTGCGGCTCAACTTCCAGACCTGCACAAAGGAGTCTTCAGCAGCAGACAGGAGCTGTGGAGCAGAGGAGAGAGAAAAGCAAGCTCTTCTGAAAACAGGCCACCCCTTCTTCGCCTTGGAACTGTAGCCCAGAGAGGCCTCTGCGGCATCAGTCAGCTCTCCCAGACTGCGAGATGGCAAAGGCGGGGGGTGGGGAGGGGATCAGCAGGCAGGAGATGCCCAGGCACAATAGAAACAGAGCAAGTCAGAAGGGGCCTCCTGGGCCATCTAGTCTGACCCTCGGCTCCAGCTGGCTCCGCTCACGTCAATCACCTTTGAACACCCTCACTGATGGGGCCTCCACCACATCCTGTGGAAGCCCCTGCCACCTCCTAGGGGTCCTGACCCAATGTCCTTGGGGTGCTCCAGCCAGGGGACTCGGCCCACTGACCGCTGCTATCGCAGAATTCCTCGAACCCGTCCTGAAAGGCATCACAGTGTCTTATGGCAGGCTGTTCCTCGGGAAACATCTGCGCATGAGTGGAGGGGTCCTTTCTTCCACGCATCTTAAAACGGGCTGCCGGGCTCCCAGAGCCGTTCCACACACTCCAGGTGACTTGCGCTCCCACCGGGGCTTCTCTCAGGCCCACAGGCACTCTGCACGCCCCCTTCCTCTGAGCGTAATTACAGGCAAGGACCGGCAGGATATAACATCCAACCTCCTGCACGATCAAGCCACTCGAGGCAGGAGGGACTCACCTTGCCTGAATGCGGGGCGAGGTCCAGGGCGTAGATCCAGCGTGCGTGAGCATTAACCTCCGCCCGCAGGGTCCCACTGGCTGCCTCATAGAGACGAATCTGCCCATTCCCATAACCAGCCACGATCACCCCGTTCCACAGCTTCACCGAGGAGCAGGTGGACCTGGTGCACAGAGAAGACGCGGGGCTGGCGCTGCCCGGAAGTGGAGCACACGCTCTGCCTGCGAGAGGCTCTCGGGGCTGGGCTGGGCTGGGCTGGGCGGGGGCAGTTGCCGGTCTTCTGCCCTGACCCACCGCCCCAACGTGGCTTCTGCGCTCTGCCTCGAACGAGGGGCAGGCGCAGGCGTGCCCTCCACCCTCCTGCAGGCACCTGCTCGCCCTGGTCACTGCTGCCTGAGGAATGCTGCAGGAGACGGATCTCGGGGCCTGCGTGCGCCTCCTCACTGCTCCACACCTTGCAGGGGACCCGGGTCCTCCACCTGCCCTCCCCTCCCACCCTTACTCAGAAACAGGGGTGATTCTGGTGATCAGCTTGAACTTGTCTCCAGCACACCAGACACACAAGGCTCCGGAGTCATCCGCCGTCACCAGGTCAGCACCTCCCTCCTGCAATGGGAAGGAAAGGCACGATCAGCCTGTCCCACGAGAAACTGAGCGGGCACGTGAGCGGCAAGGCCTCCAATGAACTCCTGGGAAACTTAAGGACGTGCCAAAAAGGGGTCCCTTTGCTCCTTGCGCACAAGGCAATTCTGGTACAGCACAGGCAGCCCATTCCGGTTGCCCGGGGGCAGTGCGGGGGTCCAGCACAGGCAGCCACTCGTGCGCCTCAGGGACACAGCAGGCCAAGCCTGCTCTGCGGGCCCTTACCGGCCGCTCACACAGCTCTGCGCCAACGTCGGTGATGGAGCTGCAGTGCTTTTCCAGGACTTCGCTCAGCGTGATGTTGGTGCCTTTGGAGGGGACGTCAAAGACAAGGACTGACCCAGAGGATGTCCCTGCCACAGAAGGAGACGGGAAATGCTCAGCGCTCGGGGCCGGCCTCTGCCCTCCCTGCCCAGCCCCCCACCCGCACCAGCACCTACAGCACCGCCACAGTGGGGCAGGACAGAAATTAATCGATCCATCAGACAGCCCCACATCCTCTGAGACCAGCCTTCAGTCTTGCAAGCCACAACTCTTCCTGGGGCCTCACCTGCTGGACTCCACCTTTGCATCGGTCCTCTGAAATGGACTGGTGCAGCCCTGGCCCTCTCCCCAAAGATGACTCCTAGGAATCCAGTCACAGCTCCAGGAATACGACTCCACAACCTTCCCTCCATAACTGGGCCTCTCAGAACACAGTGGGAAGCTGCCACAGCCAGGGGGTAGCTTTGCCCGTCCTCAGCCTTCTGGTCCTGCCCTCCAACCTTCCCCTCCCCTGGACTTCCAACTCATTGTCTCACCTACACAAACAAAGCGCTGTCCAGATGCTGCAATTCCACGAGCAAAAACTGCCTGCCCTGGAAGGAGAGACACACCCATCAGAGGGTGAGGGCTGCCCAGGCCACTGGAACAGACCCTCTCTGGGTGCACCTGCAGGGTGAAAGGGGGCAGCTGCCTCCATACACACAGCAGGAAGACAGCCCAGGAGGCTCTGGAGCACACGCCCACTCTGCGCCCCAAAGCCCGGGAGGCGTGCACAGGAGGAGCTGCCCTACACAAGCCTGTAGGGGACTGTGCCTCTGCAAGAAGCTGGAGCGCCAGAGCTCTGCCCCCTAACTGCCCTGCTCAGGTGCACACCCATGAATGTGGGAGGCAGCAGAGCAACGGGGAGAGAAAAATGACACCCACCAGCGTGAAGGAGCAGAGACAGGGGCCCGGAGCTGCTCTGGCTCTCAAAGCAGCCACAACCCATAGAGCCCCTGGAAGGAACAGTGGGTAGCACAGAAACCTACGTGTTCTACGGAAAAGTACCTGGCAAAGCCTCCATGCCCTCCAGAGCGTGCCAGTACACCATGACGGAGCCATCCGACTCATACATCTCCAAGGAAGGGGGAAAGGAGAAAGAAAAGAGACGAGGTGACTCCAGCAGGCAGCCCCCCGAGATCGACCCACATCTGCTCCTGCCCAGAAGGGGACAGGAACGAGTGAGGAGCCTTTCTTGGTCAAAAGGCTCTGCGGCCTCCGCAAACCCCCCAGCCTTCCAGCACTGACCCTCACCTGGATACCCTTCCGTGACGTCAGGACCAAGAGGACCCTAGAAGGCAGGACACACCAAGCAGCCTGGCGGGAAAAGCAGAGGGACAATCAGCCGGCAACGTCCCTCCCTGCTCGAAGGAGGCAACTTGCAAATGGAACGCCCCGAGGGAGTCTCAGACCCCATGGCAGCACCTTCCTTCCCTCCTCATGTGGGAACCTAAGCCTCTGTTTTAACATGTTTTGATGGGGCATTTGATACTGCTTCTAAAAATGCTGTTGGGAACTGCCCGGAGAGTTTTGGCTACTGGGCAGTATAGCAATCAATCAATCAATCAATCAATCATGTTTGAAATTTAGGGGGCTAATTGCACAGGAGTGGAATTGCACATCCAAGGAGGGGAATCCGGAAGGGTCTCCCCAGGGCAAGCACCTCAGGGGTCACCCAGCTGAGCCGGCGCAGGCACAGGCGGCGCGCCAGTCCCGAGGTCGAGAGCCCCTCTCTCCGCAGCTCCGCTCCCCCGGCAGTGAGGCGGGCAGGGCAGCCCGCAACCAGAAGCGCGGCCGCCTCCATCGTCGCTTGCGGGCCCGGTGCCGCCGCCGGCAGAGGGGCTCGGCCGCAAAGAGCGCTCTCCCCGCCGGCCTGTTCTCGCAGTTCGTTCCGCCAGCGCGTCCGGCCTGGCCAGTGTTTACCCCTCAGGGCGCAGCACCGCTCCTCGGCGTCGAGGGCGGCATGGGGATCGGTCGATCGGGGGACGGGTGGCCGCCCGGCGGCGCCGAGAGCCGCTCCGCCCGCGTTACCTGGGTGATGGCCGAGGCGCCGACGCCCAGGCTCCCCTCCTTGGCCTGCAGCTGCCGGTGCGAGGCGCCGAGCCCGTCGTCCGCGGCGCTCACCAGGTTGACGGTGCCGCCGTGCACGCAGGCGAAGTAGGCGAGCTGCTTGGCGGGCAGCGGCAGCACGCTCAGGTTGTTGTACAGGGCCAGCGCGCTCTCCTTCAGCAGCACGCCCCTGCCCCTGCGGTACATCCCGGGGGCCCGCGCGACGCGGCTTCCCGGAGACGCGCGGCCCCGGGCGAGCTCGCGGCGATGCGCCACCAGCCCCACTCGCCCTCGCCCGCGCCCGCGCCCCGCCCTCCCCTCGCCGCGCCATGGAGACGGCGCGCGGCGCGCTGACGTCAAGCGGCGGGCGCGGGGCCGTTGCCGGGCGACGCGGGG